TCACACGGCCCGCCCGTCCTCCCCACTTTCCGTCACGGCTGTCTCGCCTTTAGAGCAGCAGCGGAATTTGGGGAACTGAATGGCTGTTAGGCCGGGCGGACCATGAGGTCCTGGGGGGGCGGAGCCAAAAGTGTTACTTTAAGCTCTAGAATGTTCCGAGGCCTTCTGCGCAAGCGCAGATTAACCCATTAGTGTGAATTCACAGAGTACCACTCGAAGAACCAAAGTTACAGGTAAGTAACCTCTTTTTATATTGACACAGAAGGAAACACAAATGGAGAGGGCAGGATTTGGGTGAGGGGCCTGAAAGGAGGGAAAGAGGACCAAGTTTTTGAAATCGCCAGCGGCTAACAGGACACAAGACTGACGAGGATCGTGCAAATTACCTTTTCCCTTCCTCTGGGTGCCGGGCGTGAGCTTGACTTTGTATCTTTAAAAAGAAAACAAGAACAGGCAGCGTTGAGCCAGCCGCCAAGGAAGTCCGGCCACTCTCTCACGGCCGGTCCGGCTAGCCACCGTGGCTGCCCACCCGCCTACTCACTCACTTGTAGTTGGTCATGGTGGTGTACGGAGCGCAGATGGGAACGGCGAAGAGGAGGAGGTCTTCGGGGTGGGGCTGCCCTGTCAGAGAATCAAAGAGCATCTCCCCTTCCTGGAAAAAACAGAAGACAGACTGGCATCATGGAAACAGGCCGGGAGAGCAGGGGCCGTCACCCCCCCACACCTGATTTTGGGCAGACTCTGCTTTCTTTCCTGCAGGCCCCTTTGCACCGTTGGTACCGACAGTGCCGTTGCGAGGAGAGTCCTGGGGAGTGTTTTCCCTGCACCAGCCCTGCTTGGTGAAACCAAAAACCTCCTTTCCTTTTCTCTAATTGAGGTTTTTATGTTTGTTTGTTTGTTTGTTTTAAATACAAGGCACGGAAAGAGCCACTCCTTGTTTTAGGGGCCACATGGGCTCGCAGTAGGTTCCAGAGGTAAAATCATCAAGGGGGGGGCGGGGTCTGGAGGCAGCGCCAAACAGCCCCGAGGGGCCCCGTGCAGCTCACGAGACCTCCTTTCCAGTGGTCCTTCCCCACCCCCACCCCCAGCGCAATGGCCTGCTGAGACTTGGGGAGGAATCCTGTCTTTCTACTAGGAATCAGGAAGGGGGCATTTACCTCACTCATGTGCTGGTCTTGGTCCTGATCCTCCTGCAAAAAACAAACAATGAGACTTCAACTGAGACACATAGAGAGAGAGAGAAAGAGAGAGATCCAAGCCAATTGACACCCTGCCCAACATAGCCTGGAGCGATGCCAATCTCAAAATTGCTATCCTCGCATTTCAGCCTGGTATTTTTAAAAGACAAGAAAATCAGCTTCTCGTGCGTAACCTATGGCATACCATACGTTACAGTTTGTCTTACGTTTCTACAATTCTTCCGAGATGCTTTACGGATCTTCCATCAACGGGTTACAAAGCTAAATCTAATCACTCCATTTCATAACAAACTCAAGCAGCGAAACCCAACCGAGACTGTGAAATAAGTGGAGGTGTATCAGCAGGACAGAACAGGGGGGTCTGTGGGTGTTGCGTGTGTGCGTGTGTGGGGGTGGGTGGCAACCCTGATTGCGGTCTCCTGAGAAGATTATCCAGAGCGACACAGCCCAGCAAAGTCTGAGGACACTCAGAAGCCACGTGTCGGCTAAAGAACAAAATACAGGAAAAAAATGTACATGCCGTCGGCTTTTTGAGTGGGCCTTTGTGCCTCCAGGCCTTCACCACTCCTGATCCTGACTACAGAAGAGGGAACACTGCAAAACTTTGCTACAGAACACCCCCCATATATGTGAATGACAAAAACAGCAGCCGTGGCCCCAGAGAACCTGCCGGAGCGGCATGACCCCCACAACCAAGAACCTGGAGCTGGTCTGGATGGTCGTCTCCCTCCCTGCAAAGGGGGAGTTGGAGTGGGAATCCCACGCCAAGTGGGGAGCAGAACACGCCTCCTTTCCCTCTGAGCACAGAAGGGGGTCTCCCAGCCTTTGCCCTGCAACCTGCCCTTGCCCCCCCTGCCTCCCCACCCTCCCTCCTTCTTTGGCAAGGGGTCCTCCTCGTTCCGTCTGGCCTGGGAGCCTAGAAGCACACTCTCCCCCTCCCTGTGCCACGCCACCCGGAAGTGGTCCAAGGAGGGGGGGAAGGGTTGTTGGAGGAATAGGCCAGTGGGAGCCGATGGAGGGCCCTCAGCCTCCGACACCCTGCTCTCTCCCCACACCCGAACCTGGTCATGGTCCCCGGCGGCCAGCCTCGACTCTAAATTTGGCCAGAGGGAGGGGCCACGAGGGTTACAAGGGCCCCCCTCCGTTTATTCTCAAAGCCCCTACCTTTCGAGGCAGACGTCTCGCCCCGAAGGGAGGCTCCACGTCATCCAGAGGGGACTCCCCATGGAAACCTTCCCCAGGGATCTGCCTGGCCTCTCCTGGAGGAGGGAGCCCACGAGGCGCAAGGCCTTCTAGCCAACCCAATGCACACGGCCAGACACACACACACATCCTTTCCTCCCCCCCTCGGCCAGCCCCCGGGCAGGGAAGGTCTGCAGCAACCCAGCATGTCTTTGAAGGGAGGGCAGCCCCCCTCGGATCGCCTAGCCCTCTAGGCCGACGGAGGGAGGGCAAAAAGCACAGAGGGGGGGCGGAGACCCCGGGGCTTGAGAACCACCTCCCCCCCCCGGGCCTTTACCTTCTCGTCGGGGACCTCTTCCAAAACGACGCCCTGCAGCTCGGGGGTCAGTTCCTCCATCCGGACC